TATTCATGGTGTTCAGCTTCCGGTTTATTCAGCTTATTGCCAGTTGTAGGCAAAGTTCACGCGCACATTGTCGCACTCTAACTGGGTTGATTGTGAGGAAACTCTTATGTCAGTCATTGACTAAAAACCTCCCGCGTTAAGCCCTTGTGCGACGGACGTCCCTTAGAAATATAATTTGCCCACACTGATCGCCAATTCTACTTGCAAAGTGTTGTGGATTGAGTTGTGTAATGTATTCTAGAGTGTAAATTTAGTACTAACCTCGCAGACAAGGATGCAATGAGACATTTATTTGCGTAGTTAGGCCTACTATCCATTGGGCAAGCATCCGTTTTATTTTCTTTCGATAGCCTGTCCATGCACTAACCTTTGGATACAGAAACTAGCTGCCTCTCGCTGTACCAAAACTTGATAGTTTTGGCGTTCAATATTCTTAACGGGTGCTCATAAAACACCGGGACTGCATCGTGCGCCTTTGGCGCTTTGGTACCCTGCAAGCTTTGGTTCATCGCGTTTTGAAAGATGGAAATTTTGATATTCCCGCGTAAAGGAAGACCGATAAAACGTGTCTTTCATTGACTACAGTGAAACGCCCGGAAATGAAGAATGTTTTGAAAGAAACGGGAAAACTGATAAAGTAAATATTTGTTTTGATAAGTGAAATTAATGAGAAATAACCATAAACTAGTTTTGTTGTTTTGTTTTTTAAAAGCGGTTTGTCTGGTACCAGATTTGTACAATTACTTTCAATCAAACATGGATCGGGTTTTGTTAATTATGACAGAATGTAATTAAAAAGCATTATGTTGACAGCTACAAGGCACATGCTTGCCTTAAGCTGCTAGTATCCCGCCATGTTTTAAACAAAGGGCCTCTAACCAAGCCGGCATTCTAATCCGCCACAAATGTGTGAAGCACGCGTCTTTCAAAGTCGCCTAGTACTTAAAATCGGGGCTCTGGCCTGTTTTGCTAGAAAATCAATTTGATGATTACCGTTTTCCTTAATTGATTGCGTGCCACAATAAGTTAAGTGGCTAAGCCAGACGACACACCACTTCATGGAAAAAGTAAGAGTTTGATCGTTATGTCCTTCCCTACCTACCCAGGAAAGGAAAATGTGTTTTCTGTGTATACCTCCTTTATTAATCCCCGGATTAACGTAAATGTCCATAGGTAGACTGAAATGTCATTCGTCTCCACCCCTTAACCCGTGAAGGGCGCTGGGGAGAGAGACGCGCCCCCCACGGATTAGGGGCTGGAGACGTGTGACATTTCAGTCTAGTCCATACGCAGTTTTCCTGGTAATGCAGGCTTATTAGACACACGCCAAAAAAATGAACGATATCGTCTTATTTTCACACTCCCTGAACTGAGATTCCAGAAGCGTGGGTAACCACATTCAGACATCGACTACACAGTTGCAGATTAGTACCACTGCGGACCGCACGGTTGGTGGAAAACCCACCAACCATATCCAATGACTAGCAACTACGGGGGAACTATTATCCCACCCACATTATTACCCGACACAATTGCCTAATGAAGACCAGAAGTACACAGTTTTAAACGTCCTTAATGAATAACTAAGTCGTAACGACTATCGCGAGACAAACGATAAACTGGTCTGCGAGCAGGCTCACATTTGGGGACAGAATGTTGCATGAGGAGATTTTTGCGGCAGATAGCAAAATATAGTCACGAAAGAGAGGGAAAAAAGAATAAAAAATGATAGTTACCAAATATGTAAATATTTTTTTTGACATTAGATATGGAATTGGAGAATCGCTTTATTCTTATTGCTGGTTTCGCCGGCTCCTGCTGACGGCACTGCCACATTAATATTAGCCTGCGTAGCAGGCGCTTGGAAGTAGCGGGCGAAAGAGAGAACGGGCGCGCGCGAGGGAGACACGCAAGGGGTGAGGGAGCGCCTGCACGGAAGGCCCCCGAAAATCGTTTCAACTCGCACTCTGTGAGTGCGGATATTTCCAATTGGTCGAGAGGCTCCCGAGGGAAAAATTAACCGCGCGGGGTGAGAAAACTGTCAATCAATAGTACATGGACAACGTAGTGAAGATCTTGCATTACACCACTGGGTCCTGAAACCACTAAATTGTATACAATCGAAGTTCAGGTCTCGGAGGTCACTTCAATCTGGTTTAATGGGACTATGTGGCTGTAATCTCAAAGAAAAGTTGGAGTGTTCAAACGGTATTCACGATGGAAAGAATTGACATCGGATACGCATCAGCAGAAGTGGCGAGAGACAAAAGATTTGTCGAATCGTTGCAATGAAGATCAGAGGAAATATTCTTTGCTCAGGAGAACTTGGCGGCTTGTGTTGTTGATGGAACGTATATCATCAAAACTTGGACATGATTGATGAAATGAAACACTTACCAGGGGCATGAATTTGAAAAAAACATTTCACTATTGTATTATTCGCCGTTCGGAGGCGACCTGAGGTCTGTTGTTTATTTCTCATTACTGCAGTAGAAAACATGTCGGTACAGTTTTTGTTCTGATGTTTAGGTCCGCTTAGTAAGACATGTAGTAGTAGTATTATATAGACTTCTTTACTCTTTTCTGTTGTTTGTTGGTTTTGTTTTATGTCTGTCATTTTTAGTCTGGGTGGGGGGCTTAGATTGGTCGCTCTGTTTGACTCAAGGCCGTCACGTTTCACTTGAAAGTTGAAGAAAATAGCAGGAGTGGATGTTACGTAATAACAAAAACATGACAGGTTTCTTGTAGTCGATCTTTTAGGCAGGTCGTGCCTAAAAAAATATCATAGACCTTAGGCTTATATTTCAGTCACGTCTGCCTCTTCTCTTCCTTGCATGGCTATTCAGTGCAGTAGTTTGAATATGTATATTTCACGGATTCTTGTTTTTTAAGCTATCCCACTGTATGCGACCGAATCGTCCTGCTTTCAATGAAGCAGAAACGCACCATGAATATTCTAAAAGACAAGTCATCGATAATCACCGACACCGGAAATCGTGACCTACAATAGGTACGTAGGTGCGAAGAGTGATATTAGATGGTTGATGCTATCGCCCGAGTCGCCCCGCAAAAATAAACTCCTTCAATTAATAACCTGAGTATCAGGCGTTTCTGGGGGAAAAGGAGAAAGGTGAAAGCGAAAAAGGGAGATAGCTGAAGGAGAGAAACGCCTGACACAGATGCTTTTAATGAAGCCCTCCACCCCCACACAGCATGATTCGATACCATCCAATCAAAATCACTTCCGGTCATTGGGTTGTCAGCTTCACGTGTCAAAACGCTCGCCTAAAATAAATCTCACCTTACGGTCAGACAACCTCGTTCCCAGGGTTCTCTCCTACCCGTCCTACGGAGCGAGAGAGAGACCCGGGTCTCTCTCTCTCTTGCTCCGTAGGGCGGGTAGGAGAGAACCCTGGGAACGAGGTTGACGGTCAGACCAACCTCCAGTGCTTGTGTGTCTTGTGTTGCTACGATTTCGCTTTTTTCTGAAACCTCCAATGAGGAGTTTTCGAATACTCGTAATGGAAAATCTGCCGTCTTTGAGGAATTATAACATGTTTTAGGAATTGTGCTAGTGTAAGATCACCAACGCTCCATTTGTAAATAAACGTGCACCCGGAAAATTGTAAATTGCTTTTGTTTAAAGAGTTACAACAGGCGCTCATTAATAAGCAGGTTCCTGAGAGTCTGGCAGCTAAAAAGCTGATGTAGATCAGGCCGAGAATCGTTTGAGGGAAAGCGAAATATGATGACGCCCGCTTGAGCTTAAGACATTTCAAAAGCGAAAAAAATTTTGGAAGAGTATGCGAACAAATTCCAATCACTTACGCTATGGACGCTATCGTAACCGGCACAAGCAAAGTCACGCTAAAGCCTTGGTGCTGTGGGCTATTCTCAATACATGGCTACCTCGCTCTAATTTTATTTACAGTAACAATACCTTTTTAACGGCAGGATGGTTGTAAATCAGAACTTTATAGATATCTGAAGCACTGATATTGCCTTCTTTGTCCTCGTCTTGTGAAACCAATACTCCGACATAGTTTCGGTAGAAGCTGGTATATGAGGCTTCTTCATACTCCGAGAACATCTTTCCTTTTAACTACGAGGCTTTGAAAACACAATTCTTGCTCGGGTTTTATTTTTATTCCAGGAAAGAACTTGAAAGCGCCCTCTAGAGCCTTTGTGAATTCCTCTCTCCGTCCGCATGAAATCAAAACATCTATGAAAAATTTCAATGGCTTCTCCTTGCCGATCGCTGTGCTCGTATTTACTTGCGGTCGGTGACGTCAGGGGGGTATTGTGTGTTATCCAATCACTGCCACATCCAGTGTGTCACACGATTTGCTGAATGGTTTTGTGTCAGGCCTTCTCTTCTCTTCTCCCCCTCCCCCATCTAAAATCTCCTCTACCCTAGCCGCTTAGGAAGGCCTGATACTCAGGCTATCAATTAACAACGTTCTGCAGCAAAACCTGAAATTATATCACTGCAGAAATCGGAAACACCCTGAAACACGAGAGGAACGCACACCCAACACTTATCGGCGCAGTTGATGGCGCCAGTGGGATATTAAATAGGAAGTCATGTGGCGAAACTAATTTTGTACACATCTTTATCCCTAATGTGCATTTCAAACAGAAATCAGAAGTGCCTGCAGCGAAAAAACTATCTTTCACAACGGCTTCAGCGATTATTTCCTATTGCGCTCGAAAAGGGTAGCTTTTATTCACGGACAGCGATCAGATGGTCGGCAAGAAATTCGACCCTCGACAAAAAGATAGACCCTGTTTCTTGCACGTACCAGCCGCCCCATGGGGCTTTTGTTGCAACACAGAGTAGGAATTAATAAAAATGCTTTTATTCTTCTTATCCAGTCCAGTCCAGTCCAGAGTCCATTCCAGTCCAGGGTCCAGTCCTGGATTTCCATCTGGCTGGATAGGCGTTGATATTTAAGCACGTCTTAACCTTACGAGGTCATTATGGGGTAATTAGCTTAACACTAACCAATTTCACATCGATTGCCAAAAAATCCAGGCGAGCAACTGCAGTTGAATGCATTGATTCGGTCAGTGCAAGTTGCGTTGTTTAAACAGGGTCTGCCCTCACACTCGTTTATATCTGAAGGAAACAATAATCACAAATATAAATTGCAAACAACAACAACAAAAAGAAAGAAACAAGAAACCACTTTTACGGAGGGTTCTTTACTGCATACTGACTTCAACGAATTGAAACTTGCGAAAGAAAGCTATAAATGCCAATAAATCTCTTCTTCATATAAAAACAACAACAATTGAACATGCAGGACCAACACCGTCAGTCAGTGTATAGATTTTCAAGCCGATAAACAATGAAAATAACAGCTAAACACACAGCTCACCAAATTCACATCGATTGCCCGAAAATCCTGGTGGACAATTGCAGTTGAATTCGTTGCCTCGGTCAGTGCATGTTCCGTTGTTTAAACAGGGACCGCTCTCACATTCGTTTATATCTAAAGGAAATATAATAAAAAAATAACGACTAAGACAAATGCGTTATTATTGGCCGTCTTTTTTTTTCGGCATTTTCATGGACCGAGAGGAATTCGAGGTCAATAAAATTGCAAAATTAACATACAATTATCCAGCGAACCCTAGAGCCTCCCGATAAAAACGTATGTTGGTATAACATCATTTGACATTATCATTGTCGGATGATGTCGATGATGTAGGATCCATGTAGGATCGGATTTAAAATTGATCCATATTTATTAGTTATCAGCATTCAACAGTGTCCAACATTAGGTGTTTAAACGGGATACATAGCATGTTGCGTTTTGGCGGAAATGCAAGGCAAATAGCAGCAACTAGTAACTAACCAATTTCGCATCGGTTGCCGGCAAATCCTGGAGGGCAACTGCAGTTGAAGCCATTGATTTGGTCGATGCAAGTTCCGTTGTTCAAACAAGTAATATTGACACAGTCATTTATATCTGCAGGAGAGAGAATCAAAGATATATATATATATGTTGTGTAAAAAAACATAAATGATAATTATGTACCTTTCAGCCAAGGTACATTAGACTTCAGCAAGAGTCAAAACACCCAACTAATAAATGTAATCGTTGTTCTAGAGGTTGATGGAGAAGGCCTGTCTATAAATAAGTCACTTTATCGATCAAGCAGGGAAATTGAAATTTGTGGTCAGGTAACGTGAAGTAAAAGTTCAGTGAGATACTTATTGGTCGACATTTCTTTCAAGGTAGATTTCAAAATCTTCTCAGTTAGATTTTTTTTTTATTTTAGTGAGCTCAAAGAAGCAAAGGTCAATAATATAATACCGTGACTAGGAGTAATCGGAGCTTAGGAGCGTGCGTTCGATAGGTTTGTTGAGGCGGAAGGGTGGTTGCGATGTAGATAAATATGAGTAAGGCATATTTTGAACGTAAGGGTTGCGTACAGCGAAACCTCTATTTAAACTGTGTATCATTTTAAGAATGTTTTTAAAAGATATCGTATCAGGTTCGGTGTCAAGTGCTTTTAATCGGAGGAGACATTGGCCAGCGTCGGACGTGTAAATGGAACATTTTGTTTTACTGGCGCGAGTTAGAGGGCGCAGTTTCTCAAAGGCCGATTAGTTCTTAACCCGGGATTCTTTTTCTTTCTTCAAGAACATTTCTTCGGATAATTTTCTCTGTTATTTTTAACAGCATCCAATCATCAACTAGTTGACAAAATGAATTGCATTGAATTTACTGGTTTAAAAGCATTCACATCTGAATTCAAACTTCGCACTAACCCTGTCAAAGCCTTCAACGGAACGTGTGTGCGGCTCACGTCAATAACTTGTTCAGTAATTTGGTCGAGCGTGTTGATTTCAGTGACTCGAGAGTGGCGCTACCGTGGGCTGATTTATAAGTTTTTCCTAATAAATAACAGAGTTAAAGTGTTCGTTTGTCCGGTGCCGAAAATATCACAAGTCATGGTCAAATGGCGCCGCCGAGCTTCAAATCTCGGTAGATTTACTTTGTGGCACAACGGCTGCCGAGCTACACAACTCGTAAATTTACTTTGTGGCATAACGGCCGCCGAACTAAACCCGGTTTGCTGCATGCACCAGTAGTAGCAGACATTTTCCAAAGACAGTGACGAACCATGCTGAAAAATATGAAGGCTTAATCCAAAGTAAAATTTAACAGCAAACTCCTGGAAGATGAACGCTTTGGACGATTCAGCAATCACAGATCGATGTACGCTTTACGAAGATTTAGCAAACTTTTTAAAAGATGAACGCTTTACGAAGAATATCAGACCTTAGCAAACCTTTGAAAGATGAACGCCGAGGACACAAGAATCACCACATGAGTTAGCGCGTCAAAGGGAGGCAAAACTTAAGCAAGCGCCTCAAAGCGAGGCAAATGTGTGTCGACGACGACGAACGAAAATGAAATCTAAAAAAAAAACCCTTATTAATTGCACAGGTCACCCAATAATGTACAGATCACCCAACACAAATTAGGGGTTGCGTTCTCGTACCTCGAACGCAAAAATCAGTACAAAAGCTTTATGCTGATAACCGTTCCCACTTGCAAAGTGCGTTAATTAGTGTCTCACCTGTGATTGTATTACAGTAAGTGGCAACATTGTTTAAACTCAGTATTTCTTACTCGTCTCGCAGTCTGTTCCGGTGAATCCTTCCACGCAGATACACTTATATCCATTTTCCTGGTACAACGAAGTGCATTTTCCAGTGTTCTTACAGGGCGAACTGTCACAAGGAGACTACACAAAGGAAAGGATACGGCTGTAAGTAAAGACCATGATTTTATGTCAAAGTCAAAATATCCTGTAACGTGACGCATAACATTTATCCATATTAGACAGATGCTGAATTTACGGCAAATTCAGTTATTGACTTTCGTCGACCAAGTTGAGCCCCAAGTTTTAGTTACATGTAGCATTAAGAAGGAATCCATCAGGAAATAGAGTAATTTCAATTTTTAGTGGACAAAAAAACCTGGTACCAGAATAATTTAAACAAAATCGCTTTCTTTTTTACATTTTTCAAGGGCTATTTATATACAAGTTAGTTAACTGTAATAACAACAAATACTATTTTTATGGGAGCCCGATAAATAAATGTCAAATTTTCACAAAAATTGTGAAAACAAAGGTAAAACTCTGAAAATGTCATGTGTAAGATGCCATTTTATGAAATTTGACATTTATTTTCTCGTCCTATCATAAGAAATTTTCTTTGGGGTTATTACACGTGTAACTAATTTCATCTTTAGCCCTTTAAAAATGTAAAAACAGAATGCGATATTGTTTAAATTATTCTGGTACAAGGTTTTTGACCACTGAAAATAAAAATTACTCAATTTCCTGATGGATCCCTTCTTAACACAATTACTCCACCTGCCGGTTGTTGGATATGGGCTAGCTCAGCAATCATCTCAGACGGAGCAAGTGCGAGTGGAATAATTGTTTTATTTAGTGAAAACGCCCACAAAATATCGATTTATCTTCCGGACTTTATTTACTTTTTAGCTAGCAAAAATGTTATTAGTCATATCTGTGTCTAAGCGAGCGGACTGATGAACAAATAAAAAAGTGAATTAATAAATACATAAATAAATAAAACATATTTATTTAGCCCATTTTTTAAGGGAAAAGCCCTGGGGACGAGGTTGTCAGGATTCTACTTTGCTCGACAGCTAAAATGATCGCTGACGATATGAAATTTGAATTGCATTTTCAGCGCCGTTACAAGCTAAAAAAAAAAGCTAAAATTATCTTCGGTTGGCATGTAATAAGCTCTTTAAATACACAACATCTCTCTTTGGGGTTCTTTGGGTCTTCATTGCCTAGACCACGCGCGATACCTTCAGGGAGGGAGGGATGGGACAAGAAAAGCTTACAATCGTGTTCAACGCATCAGCTGGCCAGAATCGCATAATCACTCACACGTGGCAGCAGCTTGTATATATACATGGGCTTGGCGCTGAACGTCCACCACATGTATTTAATCCTGATAAACAGGTTTATCACTCACTAAATACACAACAACTCCCTTTGGGGTTCTCTGGGTCTCTATTGCCTAGACCATCGCGCGATACCCTCCAAACCACCAAAGAGAGAAAAGGGGAGTTAGTGAGTGATACCCTGGCTCATCTGTTGGAGAGCCTCTAAGTTGTAGCGTAGTGAATGGTCTAAGTAACGCTCATATGCAGTCGATTTCCAGTCGCCTTGTAGCTTAATATAATCGCTAGGCACGCCGCAATGCAAGGCAAATGAAGCACCCTCTCGCCTGAAGTAGTGTCCAGAGAAAGGCGAGCTATCGTAGCCGCAGAGATCGAGTGTTCGTTTCAGTTTTGTTGTGAATGTGGTATATGTCAGTGTTTTAAGGACACCTTCCTCCATGTAATAAGCTCGTGTAATTATATATAGAGAATGCCATAATTACACTTAATATCCTTTGATGCGCAGATGCTTAATTAGAGACCAACTGACTAATAATAAGGACTGAATAGACAAAATTAAGGCGAGACTCAATTCTAACTAACTAGACTTTTTTTATTGTTTTGATAGTTAACAACAACAAGAATAAAATGATTAGAACGCGGGAGGTGAAAGAGAAATAGCGAAAAATTCCAACTTTAATTCTTTTTTATTTTTTATTTTTTACGGTTTAACATAAAATATTCTCGAAACTGAGAATGTTTTGTTCAAAGCTGTGTGAATCGAACTGAATCAGTGCATGGAACCTTGGTTTCCTGTTTTTATCTCGCTTATTGTATGGAATATGTGTGAGAATCTTCATTAAGAGTCGGTATTTTTCAAAGAGCTACACAATAAGAAAACTATTGACCAACAACATATAGAGCGGGGGCAGCTAGCTGTAGTGACAGCTATTACTAGTTTAGATTTGACGCACTTATTCGTATTACTTTCTCAATAATAATGCGGCGTGACGCTTTTAGCAGACTTTTTCGTGCTGTTACGAAATATTATAGGACTGCCACCGCCAGTAGAAATATGCCTCTTTTCATGGTATTCGTGGGGATTTCCTTCCGCCCGCCGAATATCTTGCAAAGAGGCCTTTGTTGGAAGAGAAGCTTTAAAAGGGCTTAAAAGGAAAAATAATCGGGAATTGGTAAAACTGATTTGCAGCGCAGTCACAAAAACAGTTCACAAAGAACAAAATACGAACGGTTTGATAATTAAAGGTGGAAATTCTAGCTTTAAATGTTAGAGGTTTTGGAACTGAACTCAACACTGTCTTGTGAACTTAAAGTTTGTGGCCATGCCACCGAATTTAAAAACGTACGTTGTGCTGATGACAGTTTTGGTCAACAATCCGAAAATAAGTTGGACAATCATTGTAAGAGAAATGGGAGATAGTCTATTCGGCATATTACGATCGATAAAACTGGTGTATCAAGTTAATGGCGGAAGGCTAAAACAATAAAGGGGTATTGACGGCAAGCCGGCTTTTCTTTCCACCTGCCGAATATCGTGAAAAGTGGCCTCTGCTGGCGGGGAAGCTTTAAAAAGGCTTGGAAAAAAAAAAAACATCGGGAATTGGTTATACTGATTTGTAGCGCAGTCACGAAAACTGTTCAGAAAGAACAAAATACGAGCGGTTTGATAACTGCAGGTGGAAATTCTAGCTTTAAATGTGCGTTCCTATGGCAATATCAAACAGGAAAGGCAAACACTATAGAGCGAATAAGTCCCCTTAGTCTCACAGGTTATTTTATTTGCATTGCTTCAACAAGCAGGCATAAATACGAATTAGCTGTATTAAGTGTGTATTCCAGTAGCTTATTTGTGTTGCTGTAATGGTAATATATCAACTATAAGCAGGACAAGAGACACACTGTGATAATGGAATTAAATTAACCTGGTCTTAGTTCACTTTAAGTAAAGAAAACTAGTCGAGCAGTTTTCTTGTCTTCATTAGAAGAGGTTAACAACTTCGAACCTTCATCCTATTGTAAATCTATTAAGTTATGAAAACAAGTTCGCTTGAATTTTAGTTCCTTCTTCTCCTTTTAGTTTGTTTCCTACTTCAGTGATGTCATTTTATTAATTATTAAGAACCGACAACAGCGTACAATATATTTTAAAACAGGGCTCAGATGTGGCCATGCAGCCCAGCCATTCGTCAGAGGTTTTAGAACTGAATTCTGTTTTATGAACTAAATTTGTGGCCATGTCACCGAATTTCAAGACCTTGTGCTGATGATGACAATTTTGCTCCACAATCGAAAATAATTTGGACAATTTTTGTGAGAGAAATAAGGGATCGTATATCTGGGAGATTACGATAAGAGAGGCTAAAACAATAAGATGTATTGAACTTTGAGTAATTTTTAAGGCAAATATTTTGTTTGGAAGATTTATTTGAATCTGCCTGACATTCGAAGGTAATAGCGATTTTAATTTCATAAAGTATGTCAGGGATTGATCCATTAGAAATAGGCAGGCGTATTACTACTGGAAAACGTTCTTGGTTTTTTTTTTTTTTTTTCCCACCCCCCGCCTCTCCTTTTTCATGGCTTAAAGGCAAATTCCCTAGCAAACTTGTTTTCTTTTGCATTTGAAGCACAGTTCGGTCAGTGCATTGGAGACTAATTCTCCAACCAAAGAGACACGTGTCTTATTTACAAATGCTAACTTCCGAAACTAATAACTAGGGAGACAAATGAGAGGGTTATTTATTATCCTTCAAATGAAAAAGTTGTAATAAATAAGTAGTTTGACTCACCGGAATATAAAAATGATGAAACTCTTTGCTGGCGTTGAACGTATCCGAGTTGTTATATTTGTCCGATGGGAGGAGTTCACACAGAAGTTTGCCGTTGACATCAGGGAAGACAGCCACGTTGTAGGAAAAACATGACGGAATTTCTTGACAGGCGTAGCCACAATCGTTTTCTTCTTGAATAAGATTCCGCCCAATACTTGTGATATTGAGGTAGGAAAATTCACTTATCATGAAGTTGACATAGACAAAGTTGTTAATGGAACCTTGGCTGAAAGCTGTTCAAAAGACAAAGGAAAAAATGGTAGCTTTAGGAATGTACCGAAAAAAATTAATATTTTCCAAAGCAGCCAGACTACTGAAAATATAGACTGCTTGAACTCAGGTTAGAGTGTTACCTCTAGAAACACTTGGAAGTGTAGTAAAGATCCCTATTACGAAGATATAGTATCTAAGAAGTACTTGATAGCCTTCCATGTTTCTTAGAGTAAGTCGCAGGGCAGTGCACGATTGGCCTTCTTCAAAGTTTTGCCTTCGTTTGGAGAAAGCTTCAGTTGTCTAGATCTAAATCCGCTTGTTTGTTGCTTCCTCGCTGTCAAAACGGACTGAAATACAATCTTTTCATTGCATTGGTAGTATAATATTCATCCCTGGGTATTGTTATTCAGGACATTATAACAAGGTATGGGGAATCAATATGACCTGGAAAAAGCCCAAGACAGACTGAATTGAACAAGGGCGGATTTAGGGGTGGGCACAGGGCGCCCCGCATTCCCCCCTCCATTTGTCCGGGAATTTTTTCTTTTGTAAACGTGTGTCGGGTGGTACTTGGAGCTTTGTTACTTAAAGATATTTTCTTTAATAAACATTGTTAATAAGAAAATTTATTGAACTTTGTCTTTGCCGGGAAGTTGTGTTCTCGCCGCAATCTCTTCGGCCCCTGCTAGCATCATAAAGTTTTAATTACTTCTTTGACCACAACCACACCTGTGGTTTATGAAATATTTCAGCATTACCTATTCAATATGTAATCCAGGCATTTGCTAAATTTAAGAGTCTACAATGCACTAGATTGCATTTAAGAGAACTTCAATCTCAAAAATTTCCCGGAGGAGAATGCGCCCGAAATTCCCTAGAAAAGTGCGCCGTTTGCAGTCTTGATGGGCAATATCGCGCCCATATTGAAACTGTATACTATAATGTCTCTAGGCCCCCTCTATCACAAAATCCTCCGTCCGCCCCTGTCAATATATAGGTAATCTGGAACTATTCGAGAAAGTGTTGCGAAAGAACACGAAGGATTAAATGGAATTGCTTCAATTGCAGAAAATTAAAACTTGTGCGGTAATTAACACCTCTTAAGTCACTTTATTTCGGAGTCAATTAGCAGAAAAAAAGGCGGAGCTAGATATTTGCTAACGTTATACGACTATTTATTATTAATCGGCAAATCTTCGGTTTTCTTACATTTTACTCACTGAAATTGTAAGACTGTTCAATAAAAGTATGAATACATGCAAGAAGATCATCAAAAGATTTCAAGTTGCGAAGTCTCAGGGGCAATGTGTACGCTATCCTATTATAAAAGACCGAAAATATTTTGAGCTGTTGTGGTATGGTTCCTATAAAAGTTTCATCATTCAGAGCAGATAAATTGAAAACAATTTGAAGCTAATGACGGGTTTCCTATTGAAATACCTATTCACTGAAAAGCAATGGAAACCGCTGAAGAACGTTTTTAAGCCGCTTGAAGTAGTTTAAGATTGAATCAACGTCAATAGTCCTACATCAGCGATCACGGATCCGATTTTTGGACATTCAGCTGGAAGAAATTGCAAATAGAAACTTCACGGGGCAACATTATAGTGGCATTGATATTAAACCCCTCCTCTTGTTCCTTTTGTGCGATGCCATAATGGATTCATGGATCATCCCGGCCCGGAAGTATTGGTGCCCCGTTCTCCGAGTATCAGCTCGCATATGAAAACTTGCCCAGAGCTGAGTCTTTACGAGGCCATTAGCAAAACTATCTTCTTTAATTTCGTCTGTCAAATCATGGACTTTTTCTCTTCATCCGCCATTAGCTTTATCTTCATGGCGGGTCATTCATTCGCACATGCCGTTCCTATAAAATATATATGTACAATTTATGATTAACTTCAAGAAGAAGCCTAATGCCCCTCACGAAGATTTCCCAATTCTAGGGATTATTTGGAGAGACGTTTTTTTTTTGTAATCATCGAGAACATGAAAGAGAAATACAAGTTGACAAAGGCTAATTTATCACCAAACGACTAAGTCTTCCTAATTTATTAATAATGTTATCTCAGAGGAGCAACTTTAAATGATCTCAGAGTCAGTACTTTTTTTTTTTCAGAAGATTTTGAATTGCAGCCGGCAATGTGAACTTTACCTCCAGCACACTTATCTTGATTTAACTTTAACTAATGAGCTCTATAAAGGAATAATATATTCTGGAGTTCTACTAAACAGTTATTGAATCAGCTGAGTAAGGTATAAAGAATTACGCTGATGAAAGCGGATATCCACCTCAGCAGGTTCAAGACCTGCAAAATTCTTATTCTTATTTTTGCATATGGAAAATTTGTCAAACCCACCTAAAGCCACAAATATGTAATTAGCAGGTGAAGTTTAATAGCGGATCTACGTAATAATCAACCAGATGTCTAAGTGGAAATAGTGAAAAATGATTTTCTTTCCTATAACGGATACCCTACAACCCTTTTGTTTTACGGCTGCGTGTTGGCGATCGAAGTACTGACGGACTTTCTATCGAACGATTTTTTAGAAAGAAAATACAGCAGAGTGCACTTTCAGAGACTCATACGTATTCAAAAATAAAGATTGCCATGTAAAAAAATCTTAAGCTTTGTCATTTATATCGCGAGACCTTAACAGTGAATATTTGTTAGATTACCAAATTGATTTGAAAGTATATTGCGCTATATACCCGAACCGGCTGCATCTCCTTAGAACGCACCAAAAAAGGTCAAATATATCTAAGGGTACCCTGGGTGCCAGAGGCCTTTCATTCGCGGTTTCCCCTCTCGTTCAAGTCTAAAAAGTGACCCGCGCGAAAAGCGAAAGGTTTTTTCTTGCGACTTCGCCGCTCGTGTCCTCGGCCTTAGGCACGCGAGAAAAAACCTGTGGTACGAAGGGTAATCTAAGGGTGCTAATTCATGAAAATCTCTTGTGGAAATATCATGTTGCAAATTAAGGTAAAACATTTTGGCGTTATTTTGTTACACTATATCACATTCTGTACTGCTCTATACTTTACCACAAGTAAAGGACACCTATCCAGCCTTATTTATCATGTTTGGCAGCATGGCCAAACCCACGTAAAGCCACAAATATGTAATTAGTAGATGACTTTTAAGAGCGGATCTACGTAATAATCAACCAGATGTCTTTGAAACAGTGAAAAATGATATTTTCTTCCCACAACGGATACTTTACAGCACTTTTATTTTGTTTTACGCCTGCTTGGCGAAGTAGTACATACTTTCTATCCAACGATTTTTTTCCTGTGATCAGTTCAAATGGAATGAACCAAAATAGAGAGAAAATACAGAAGAACACCATGGAACTATAATCCATTACCCCTCCATTTGTCCAATAATCCCTTAACCTTTAGGGTTGCAGAGTGTCTTCTCGTCACCTATATATCAATCTTGACAATGACAATTGCACGAGCTATCAGTATTTTGGCAAGACGCAAGGCTTTGAAGGCAGTCTGTGATTCTTGGATGCACTCAATATCAACATCTGAAAATGATAATGAAAATCGTATATGTCTAGCTACAACCTCAACAACTCTGACCATTTAAAAAAATGTGCCTAAATTTGTGCTAATCTGCCATAGCGGAGAGTCGATCGACAGGAGGACGCAAAGCAAGATTGAAATCAGAGACCGTTTCCTGCATACCCTAGTAGCTTCCAAAAATAAAAAAAACTGTCTCCTTTTGGTGTTGCAGTGTGCATGATCTGCGTGACAATTATGTTTTCCTGTTTAGCACTCGTTCATGACTGCAAATGAAACTTAAAAATCAACTGTAAACTCTCTACTGGTGCTGAGTTTAAAGTCGACGCTCAAGTCTATTTCCGTTTGATTTAGACACCTGGGCATTTTGATATTGTTACCGGAGTATGTCATTCCGTCAGGGGCACCCAACGACGGTTTCCTCCTAAATACATTGAAAACATTTTGTAGGCTGTCCAGAGAACTATTAGATCACTAGAAATGCTCGCTATGTGGCGCTATAAAATTTGTATCTGTTCGGTCGCCCTAGGGGAACTCAGTAAGCTAGTGTTTTCGAAATTGCAAGGGCTTCAGTTTTATTATGCCTAGGCTAGTTAGATGCAATTTAACGTATTACTGAAAGTGAGAATTTTTCTTATTCCTCTCTCCACACATTTTTTAATCCGGAAATTTTAGGTTTCCTTTTGTTACTAAAATAGCTTAACCTGGGGAGTGAAATATGAAAAAGTAAACTTAAGAAAATGGTAGGACATTTTCTTTTGGAATCTGGAATCAGGAATGCAGCTCAAGAAATCTGGAATCCAGTTAACAATAGAGTGCAGAATCCATTAAAAAAGTTCCCTTGAAAGAGAATCCGGAATCCGTGGCGTTGAGTCCAGAATCAGACTGTTTTGCGTGAGTTGCAGGCAGGGACTGAATACTTCCATTTTTTAGATTCGTTGGTACTTAAAAAAAAATCAAAAAAAAGAAACAAGCATGTTAGCAGAATGTCTTAGATATTTTTTGATGTTTTTTGCAAGTAGGCCCCACCACCGGTTTCCAGAGAAACTACGAGTGGAGGACCGATGTATTTAGAGAAAAGCGCATTAAGGCAGGGAGAAGGGCGCAGATGGCAGCAAGCTGCAGGATATATAAATTCAAAGAGGACAGATGGCAAATTGTGGTTCCTAGAAATATCTGTAAGCAGTAACTGTTCATCGCTTATAAAGCATCAGATGAAAACGTTGTTGTAAGGGGGGAGGGAGGAGGGTTTGGGAATTGTGCGTACCTCTAGAAAAATCCCGGCTACGCCCCTGATGGCCATCCAAAAAATAATGAACGGCTATCGTCCAACCCCACATCAATCATGCAACAGAAGCAATATCGTATGAAACTTTTATTGTCTATTAGTGACAACGGAACCAGCGTAGGGCAGCAAGAAAGACACAGCTATCAACAGAATACAAGGAGATGATTATAGTCACGGTTTTTTCAATAATTACTACACATGCCACACAACGTGGATCACCTCAACGTTTATTAACTGCACGGATACAAAATCATTACACTGACAAGAGAGAAGTGCTTGTAAAACAGACCTTGCTGCTTTTGAAAGCCTTCAATTGTGACGTCATCAAAGAAGGTGTGTCAACCGCTGGCAATAAATGTTGATGAGACTTAATGTTTTAAAAAACAACGCGGAGAATCAATGTAAATCTTATCTCATATGACTATCACAACCGAGGTCAAAAGCACAAGACCATTAGATGATCTATCTATACAACACTACTCTTGATATTTTTGGCTATTCTACTGAGGAATTCTTAAAATACTTCAGTCTATTCTTTAGCTAGATTTTTGAAAGACTAAAAAGTTCTCATGGTCGTTCCGCCAGTTTTTTTTTTTTTTTCCAAAAGTACAGTATCTCCAAATAAGTAGCCAATTTAAAGGCTGCAACCATTGTCTTTTCAGTCCCTTCTCCGCCTGCCTTTCTCCCAGTTCCCTCTATTTTCGTAATTCCCGCTCCTTTTCCTTTCTTAGTGTGATATTCTGGATAATCTGACACAAGAATTAAGAAACTTGCGTTTTGGCTTTCTACAATCAAGAGGCTGCAATTCAGCTCGCTGGCTATGTTTCCAAAAATCCAGCTAGATTATACCTAATCCTAAGAATGCAATTTATTAGCCATAAAGTACGACATGCGATAAACTGAGTAAATAAGAGATTCATTACCAAAACAATGACCCTCCTGTTTTCTCTTTCTGTTCTTATTAACCCTGACTGACCAACATCAATTTTCTCCCAACAACATCAGCAGATCATCAACAGTAAAAGTTATGAGAATTGAATTGATTAACAAAGATAGAACGTTTTGATCTTAAACCAAATTCTCTCAACTATTTTTAAAAGAAATGTACGGAGATTAGTCTGGAGAATTTGTATGTGGATCTTGCGGCTTGAAGGGTTAAGTACAAGGAAATTGAGGATAAAGTTAAATAGCGGGGTCGGAATGTAGCGATTTACTTCAAGCCGTATCGCCCCTCTTCAAGCAGTACCATCCTACTCTTAAACGACAAATCGTATACTTCTAGTTACAACCTCAAAAACACTGACCATTTAAAAAATGTGCCTAAATTTGTGCTAATCTGCCATCATCAGGAGAGAAGTGCAGAGTCCCGGCCAGGACTGACTTCCGGTTCTGCACTGCAGGTGGAACAGAGTAGTAAGCGCCCGAGAGTGCTGCTGAGTTGCCGTTACTGTCGGCATTATCAACAATGAAGACCATATCTTAAACTCTTGTAAATTGCCTCTCCTGAGTGTTTATCCTTCATCTTGCTCACAAACGGTGCCAAGCCTTCATTATTGTTGAGCGAAAAAATAAACGCTTCGGAAGTAGCGCTATAGCCACTACTGGATTCTGAGAAACCAAAAGTACATAAAATAAAGAAAATGATAATAATAATGATAATAATAATAATAATAAAAACAACAAACAAAATTGTCATATATGCTTTCACGTTTGCTTCAATAAAAAAAATTAATTTCAAGTTTGAATTCATTTTATTACAGACCATAATAGCCCATTTTCACGATTAAAAATGACGTCATTTTTCTACATCCACCAGAGTTCACTTTGCTTTTGCCCTGTTATTTAAACGAATATCTATTAATCCAGTCAGGTAACTGACTGATAGCCCTATTAAATGATCAGGGAATCAACAACCTGAAGGATTCGAGTTCTTTTAGCAAGCGTTTCACTTTTAACGCCATTATTTCTTAATGGTGGAATAACTTACGAGCCTACCAAACTTAATAACAGGAGATTTCTCAGAATAGCAATAAACTGATTCTGCTCTACATGTAAATTAGAACCACTGGATCGATACTAGACATACGGACATGCGGACTCCGTTTTATTACGGACAATCTTGTTGGCCCACCACTCTGATACAGAATGTCAAGGACAAGGACACTCGGCCAGGCTTTACTGACTGTCCGTATAAAAAATATATGGTTTTGCTTTGCATATTCCGTTAGGACACATGACACACACTATAACGGGTCGGTAGCTTCCGTAACAAAAATTTGACGCATTCACCGGCAACACTACATTTAGCTTTTTTGCCTTTGAAATGGCACGATCCGCAAGTCTGTTTAATCCAATGTCTGTCAGATCCCATTATTTCACAGACCTGTCACAAAATTCTAACATGACCCCGACACCTTCTGGTCATATTTCTATATTTGGTTTGGTTGTCTTTTTGCTCAAGTCTCCTCTGGAAATTGCGAGACAATAGTCGTGAAGAATTCGCAGTTTTGTCACTGAAGCCTTGGAGTGCTGTAGTTAAAATTCCAATTTATCTAACGTGGGCTATTAGCAATGACCCGATGTTTCAGCCAAAAACATGGACCATACGCTGAATCCCTGGAAAGAGCCTTTCCTGGTGTCTCCACTTTACTCACAAACGGAGCCAGCCGTTTTTTATTTTTGAAGGGAAAATTGAAAGTTTTGGAAGCGATTCCAAAGCCACTAAAGGATTCTTACAAACAAACAAACAAACAGAACGTATGAATACAAAGGAATCCCGATTTTTCGAACGTCCAAGGGAAATGAAAGTTGGTTTTAATAACCGGAAGTTCGAAGACTCGAAGGTTTTATAAAAAAACACCTATTTATCATCTGGAACTTGGCAGGAGGTCAAGCTACTCCTAGAGTGGCACACTGTAAGAAATATTTTTTCCTTAATAGTTTTAAAGAGAGGAGTGACCGGCCCTAAGAAAAGTCCCCACACCCCCAATCTTGGTAGGGGGTGACCAGACATATCGGGCGTAAAGACCCATGCTGGCATAGCACAAACCCAGAGTGACGTTTCAACCTAACAAACAAAGAGTTTAATTCTCAATAAGCAGTGCAAGTAGAGCTGTTACAGTGCAGGAGAAAAGGACGATATAAAATAAGGGAATTTATTTAGTTTTTCTTACCCCAAGGAATATCCGTGTATCCGCCAAAGATGAAATTGCCATTCCTTATGAAGGTAACAGTGTCGTTCTTTCCATCGCAGCGACTATGAAACTGACTGACACTCCAGCCATGCAATGTAGCACGCCAGCACAGTAGCCAGTGAGAAATGTCCCCAACCGCATTCTCCAGAAAATTGCCCAAATGACGAAAATAGTAATCACCGCTGTTCAAAATAGACGAACTCATAAATTCTGAAAATAAGCATGGCATAATGAATTTCAAGTGTGTAGGAACCGACAGTTTTAGGTTGAGCATATTCTTTAATTTCTTTAAGAGGTGTCAAGATACTATGCAACAGGAACAAAGCAAAATGTGAACAAAATTGACAGAAAGTTGCACAAGGAGATTTTTGCGGCAGTTAGCAAAATATGGTCAAGAAAAAAAGGGGGGAAAGCCGTAACAAAACCAGCTAATGATTGTTGCCGAATATGCAAATACTTTTTTAACGTTAACGTTTAATAAGTATGGAACAGGAGAATCGCTTTATTCTCATCACAGGATACGCCGGCTCCAGCCGATGGCACCGCCGCATTAATATATACCATAACCCCAAACTCGGTACGTCAAGTGGGCCTGTTCACAAGCGGCCTATCAAATACTGTCATGTTGGAACTATTTAAAGAAACCCCTGAAGATGTAACATACACCTTTAAGTTAATGGAACTCGAAAACGTTCATTGAATAGAAACGCTGAGAGTTTTCGCTTCCTTATTTTACCTGTGCAGTTAACGCCGTTTCCGATATATCCGGGTTTGCATGTACAAATGTAAGAGCCTTTAGTGTTACAGAAAGCATTGGAGCTGCAGTGATGCGTGTCTGTCTCACAGTCGTTTATGTCTGTAAAATAGCAAATAGAATGCATTGATTTATTTAGAAGAATATAATTTTTACTGAATGATTCCTTTAATCATCTGTTGAAATCTTTCCTAGAAAATCATTTTGATGATTACCTTTTTCCTTGATTGCGTGCCACAATAACGGAAGTGGCTAAGCCGGAGACGACACACCATTTCATGAGAAAACTAAGAGTTTGTTCGTTATGTCCTTCCCTACCCACAAAAGGAAAATGTGTTTTCTCTGTATACCTTCTTTATTAATTCCTGGATGAACGTAAATGTCCATACGTAGACTGAAATGTCATTCGTCTCCACTCCCTAACCCGTGAAAGGCGCGGGGGAGAGAGACGCGCCCCCCATGGATTAAGGGATGGAGACGTGTGACATTTCAGACTACGCAGTTTTGCTGGAAAGCAGGATTACTAGACACATGCCAGAAATTAACGATATCGTCTTATTTTCACACTCCCTGAATTGAGATTCCAGAAGCGTGGGTAACCACTATCAGATATCGACTACACAGCTGCAGATTAGTACCACTGCGGACCGCATGGTTGGTGGAAAACCCACCAACCATAAATGAGGCTCGTAATGCTAATCACTAGCAACTACGGGGGAACTATTACACCACCCATACTCGACACAATCGCCTAATGAAGACCAGAAGTACGCAGTTTGTAACGTTGTGAATAAATAACTAAGTAACGACTATCACGTGATAAACGGCAAACTAGTCTGCGAGCAGGCTCACTTGTGCGAGTTTGGGGTTGCCTTGGCGGTGCATGGAGCCACCAGCGCTAGCTGGCAAGAAGAATGGGACGAGGAAAAGCGCGCCTGCAGACGAGCTAAGTTTCTTTTTTAATTTCGCCCCTTAAGAGATTTCAAGTACTATCTAATAGGAACAAAAAAAATTGTGAACAAAAATAACAGAAAGTTGCACCAGGAGATTTTGAGGCAAATAGCAAAAGATAGTCATATATGGAAGAAAGGGAAAAAAGCGGCGACAAAACCCGCAGATCAAGCAAATGATAGTTGCCGAATATGCAAATATTTTTTTGACGTTGAGTATGGAATTGGCATGGAGAATCGCTCTATTTTTATCGCCTGTTTTGCCGGCTCCCGCTGACGGCACCGCCGCATTAATACACCCCAAACTCGGACAAGTGAGCCTGTTCACAAGCGGCCTCTCAGATGCTATCATGTTGGAACTATTTAAAGAAACCCTAAACATGTAACATACACCTTAATTAATGGAACTGGAAAACATTTATTGAATAGAAATGCTTTCCTATTAGGTTATTCAGTGATATCAGCTGGAGGTTTTCGCTTCCTTATTTTACCTGTGCAGTTAACGCCGTTTCCGGTATATCCTGGTTTGCATGTACAAATGTAGGAGCCTTTAGTGTTCTTACAGAAAGCATTGGAGTCGCAGTGATGCTTTTCAGTCTCACACTCGTTGATATCTGCAAAATAGTAAAAAGAATGCATTGATTTATTTAGAAGAATATAACTTTTACTGAATGATTCCTTCAGTCGTCTGTTCAAATCTTTCGTAGAAAATCATTTTGATGATTACCGTTTTCTTTTATTGCTTGCCACAATAAGGGAAGTGGCTAAGCCAGACGACACACCACCTCCTGGGAAAACTGATGGTTTGTTAGTTATTTGCTTCCCTACGTACTTACAAAAGAGACATGTGTTTCTTCTCTATATTCGCTCCTTCATTAATCCCTTGATCATGAACGTAAATATCCACACGTAGTCTGAAATGCCATATGTCTCCACCCCCTAACCCGTGAGGGGCACGGGGGAGAGAGATGCGCCCTCACGGGTCAGGGGGTGGAGATGTGTGACATTCAGACTACATTTTTCTGGCAAATCAGGCTTATTAGGCGCATACAAAACATTAATGGTATCGTCTTTTTTTTTTTCACACTCCTTTTTTTTCATTTTCAGACTTTAAACCCATCGGGCCCATGCAACATGTACAGTAGTGTTTTGTATAGCTCCACCGTTCAGTAGGTCTCCGTTGATTACACTTGTTTTGACCACTTTCTTTAGGCCCTGTTGGGCTAAATTTCGACAAGGAAAACATGGCCTTGAAACAGCGACATAGGGCAACAGAAATGGCGACAAACGACCCAAAGATGGGCTGAAACTGCAACAGCGACATAGAAAAAAAGCACAAATACAATGGTGAAATCCTGACAGCGACATGGCTTCCTCCTCAATACGAGAAACGACAGGTTTTGAAATTCAGACTCTGGACATACGTAACACCCCTTAGAGGGCCTATTTCTTATGATAATTAAACTCTTAGGTAACACAAAAATATTTAAAAGGGAGATAGAAGATAGTAGAAGTTGTATTATTTGTATACAGTAAATGACGTGAAACTCTGCATTTGGAGCTTAGAGATTATATATAGTCCCTGAGAAGCAAACAGGATCGAGGTTTCTGTAGGTTTCATATAGTTTTTGCCAAATGATAAAATTTTTTGCTGGTTTTCAAGAATAACGGCCGAGCAAAACAAAAACAAGCAAGGTGACCCCATCTTTTTATTGCATGTTTTTCAATGTCCTATACATGGCTATCAATTGTGCCAAGTTTGCGCATTGCCACTTTGTTACCTTTAGGACTAACTATTTTAAAACAATTTACCCTTCTATTTAGAATCTAGCTGTTTCCTCGTCGGACGATCGACCAGTGTTTGGCCGAAAAGCCTTAAGCAAAATTTTTTTATCCAATTGATAGATGCAAATTCTCTGTATAAAAAGGTCCGTTATGTGTTCAGTAGTTGTTGGGTTGATCCAAGTGTTAGGTATCACTTACCAGAATTTGAGCGTCACATAAAATTTGGCCAGTTACAATGCAATGTCTTTTCCACATTCCGCGAGGCTAATGGTAAACGCCAAAGTCTCATACGTTACATACTTTTCATATATTACACGGGATGTAAATTGGTCCGGTCCCCGAGAACTATATCAACTACATTGCCAGAGAAGACCAGCCACCAGATTATAACTCTTTCCTGGCTTCTAAAAAACATTTGCCACGTATAAAGTATAGAAAGTTGCATTGTGTGATTTCGTTTTCAGCCGGGTACGTCTTTCACTCTTCTCCTCGACTGTCTATCGTACTTAAGGAACAAAAACAGTTTCGACCGACCCATTTCGCATTATTCTCCTCTCCACTGCGGACTGCATGAACAAGCAAACGCATCTTTCCCTTCGTCGAACAAACAAGAACCTCCGTTAAGGCATCCAGCCATTAGGCAGCCCTGAGGAAAACTATATATATCGTTTTCCTCTTGCAGGTATGTATAGCTAGACTGATCTCTCAACATTTTTAACGGCACAAAGCAAATCTAATGTTGAACATGAAAATTCCACTGATAAATTGCTGGTTCTGCGTTCCTCTTTTTTTAACATTCACGGTTGTTTGCACTCTATACTTCTCTTAACTTCATTTTCAAAACATGTAAGCCTCTTGTTAGGGAAGAAAACATTGCCTTTGGTAATGATTTTGGGGAACAGAAAAATTTGGGAAGGGGAAAACATGGCTCGCTCCCATACGAAACATGACTGAAATGCGTGCGCTTTTTTTACAACAACTCAACTTTACTGTTTTACCAAATTTCTATTTCTTACTTAGCTTCGCTTTAACAGTTGCTGCCGTAGCCTGGTTGCAAGAGTCTATTTCTTTTTGCACGCGGAAATTAGGCTCGTCTGCACACGCACGCCCTTGTTGTCTAAGCAATGAAAGTTCAGAACTTTTCTTACCTTAAGAAACATTGAAAACGTTGTGCCTGGATTATCAGTGAGCTTGGTGTCATCGTCAGTTGCAGAGAAATCATGCTTGTTCAGTTCACAATTGGCCGAGGACTCTTTGAAGTTAGAAGAGGTACCCCAAGAATGTCTTAAACATGCTTGACTGCACGACATTTCATCCGTAGAATCGATTTTCTTGAAAACGTAGCCATGTAAACGCTTGTTCTCTCGCGTTTTGATGTAGGCAGATCTAGATTCTTTTTCGGCTGCGAAAACTGTGCCAACGACGAAGCAGAAAATGAGTGAGCAATTCATTTTATTCATCTCTTCAGTTTTTCCGCGCAGTTTTCATCCGCAGGGTGTACTGCCGTGTAATGTAGCAATTTGTGATAATCGTCGCACTTTATCCTACCTGTGGTAATTTTCGCTTTGTAATGCCCGGCCGCCGATTTGTAATTGAAATACTTGGCGCAGTTTGTAATAAACCTTGTCACACTTTGTAAAAAAGGATTATCTGCTTGTCCTTCACACTTTGTAATAAACTTAGCTGTCACAAGTTGTAATATTTCCATCACACTTCAAAGGCTTTGCGATAATAATCTTTAGTTATCTGAGTCTCTTGCTCGGTTATATATGAGATTTTGCTTTAATGGCTTTGACCTCCGCCATTATCATTTTCTAAGGGGCATAAGTTATACCCAGGGAGATCATAGTTTTCTATTTGCAGTAATTTGACAAATTTACCAACAGCGAGTAAAAAATAAAATCGTCAGACGGCAATGAGTATCAAACTGAATGCCAATAGACTTCAGTTGAAATTGAGCCTGTTCACAGATCAGACCCTCTATTTTCTCGATCTTCGAAGTCCGTCGAGCGAGGGTGATAAAATATAAACAGCAGGGGATTTATTGACCGCCGGCGCAAAGAGGTATGTATGTTTTCGAAAAGAACGAAAAGAAAAGTTGAATAAACGTCTGTGTACAGGCTAGTTGAAATTAGACATTTCGGCAAAAAGGTAAACGGAAAGGAGCTTTTATAGCAACTTGATGTGACAAAAGTTACCGGGTTAACACGGTAAAGACAGATATTCAAATGGACTATAAATGGACTAAGATGAATTTAATTTAGGGTTCGGGTTAAACTTAATAGCTTCACCCTTGTTATGGTGGAAATCGTTTCGGTGGAAACTTCCAGAAAGAAAGTGTTGCCTCTTTTTTTTTCCCATGGGTTTTCATCAATTACCACACACAAACTTGGATCATCTCAACGTTTATTACCTGCACGGCTACAAATTTAAAATCATTACACTTACACCCCAAGAGATGAGCTTATAAAACAAATTTTGTCGCTTTTGAAAACCTCGGATTGTGACGTCATCAAGCAAAGAAGGAGTGTCAACAGCTGGCAATAAGTAGTGTTTTGACTATGTTTTAAAAACAACGCGAAGAACCAAACTCTTAATTGTCCTAGATGACTATCACAGTCGAGGTCAAAAGCACACTGAGACCATTACATAATCTATCTACTATAAAACAATGCTATTAAAATTTTTGGCTATTCTGCTCTTAAAATACTTCACTCTATTCTCTATCTGGAGTTTTGAAAGACCCAGAAGTCCTCATTGTCGTCTCGCCAGTTTTTTGTTTAAAAAACTACCGTATCTCCAAATAAGTAGCCGATATAAACTAAGAGTGCGACCATTGTCTTTTCTCTTCTCCGCTTTCCTTTCTCCCACTTCCCTCTATTTTCGGAATTCCCGGTTCTTTTCCTTTCTTTGCGTGATTTTCTGGCTTATCAGAGGCAAGAATTAAGAAACTTGCGTTTTCGCTTTCTTCAATCAAGAGTTCGCTAGCTTTCAAAAATCCAGCTAGATTATACTCAATCTATCCTAAGAATGCAACTTATTAGACATAAAGTACAACATGCGATAAACTGAGTAAATAAGAGATTCATTACCAACACAATAACCCTCCTGTTTTCTCTTTGATTCTGTTCTTATTAACCCTTTAGGTCCCAAGAGTGACCAACATCAATTTTCTCCTAACAACATCAGCAGATCATCAAGAGTAAAAGTTATGAGAATTACTAAATTGATTACCAAAGGTAGAACGCTTTGATCTTAAACCAAATTCTCTCAACTATTCTTGAAAGAAATGTATGGAGATCAGTCTGGAGAATTTGTATGTGGGTCTTGGGGCTTAAAGGGTTAGGGTTAGGTTAGGAAACTACTGGGAGCGGTATCACCCTACTTTACGCAGTACCACCCTCCTAAACGGCAAAATCAATACCCTCAGCTGCCGGAATCCAAGTGAGGGCAAATGCCTCTGTCCTAGACTCATATTCAGTCACTATTCATGTGTTTTCGGCGAAACCCAGAGTAGAGTGTGTGATTAATTTAGTGCTCAGATCTCTCTCAGGGAAAGACAGAGTGAGATCTAAAAACGAAATTACATTGGCGTACGGGATGTTATAGGAAGCTTCCTGCCTCCCTTTCTATAACTCCTCGCGTAACTCTTCTTTCCAGAAAACAAAGAAATAATGACTGACTAGTATCAGCGAGCGCTTGTTTTTATCTCTCGCCATATTATGTTATGAAATTTCTTGATCAGCTTAAAGCGAACAGAAGAAGAGAAAACGTATTGCCTGATTTTACGCACAAAACTTCTCTTTAAAAACTACATGAAATGTTACTTTAATCTAAAGAACACTTTACCCAAGAGAGAATGAGAATTCCCTCTTGCTATACCCCTTCCCTGTAAAGTGAACGCTATTAGCTTTGAGCTTGAGTTTGATCTTCGTCCTTTAAGGAGAGGGTCAGGTATAGCATCCCTAACTATTTAACCCTTTTTTAACTCCTATTAATACACACAAACTTAATTACCTTTACGCGCATTAAGCTTAAAATACATCGACATCTTTTTATCCTCCCTTGATGGGCAAAACTTGTAGAGGATAAGAGGTCTAGGTTGTCTTAACTCCGGAAAAGAGTGGGTGTGGGTCGGGGAGGAAGGAGTGAAGCGTTTTTTCAGTGTGCAGGACTCGGGGTTATGGGTCTTGCAGTAAGCTTACAAGTAGATTGACTTCTTGAACCACTTATCCGCCTTTTTCAACCCCAAAAGCCCATACCATTTTTCTTTTCGATGAAATTGATCATGATTGACTGTAAGAAGAGTCTGAACCAATAATCGGTTACAACAAGAGGCACTGCGGATTTTTAAAAACAACTAAGTGCGTACATGTTTTCATAGCCCAGTATAATTTAAAGAGACTATGTCCTTTTGCTCTTTGCCATCTTTTTAAAAAGCTAAAACATGTCTTCGCATCAATTGATTTCAGAAAGTCATGGTTCAATTAAGACTATACT